TTGCTCCATTTCAGTGTTGGGAAGAAGCCATAAAGCAGCAAACTGAAGCGGACCAGAGTGTAATATGAAAAGTTCGAAAACAGCAACTTAGAGAAAAGAAAACAACAACAAATAAAAGCGATCTGGGAATACCTTACGGTCTTTGACCTTAAATAGTAAAAATTCTAGTGTAGTCGGGAGACGATAGGCTCAACTTGCTTATTATCCGGTCTACTTTGTCATGCACCACTCGATCGACTTCTCTCCAGACTTCTGGAGGTATTTCTATGCGCGTAGGGGCGTCTATAGTAACTTTTGTATAGCGCCAAGGAGACCCATCCGTGGATCCGTGGACCATCCCATCCGAGGAAATATGGAGCATGGTACAGAGGCTTGGCTGATTTGAGCCGATTCGGAATAACGAAGACCTTCGCCAATCTAAGGTCTTTCCGGACGCTTTTAACTTGCTATACTTCCTTCATATTCGTTTGTTGAAAAGGGCTAAGGAAGCTCTCAATAAACTCAACCGTTTATCATTTAAAAACTGAACGATCGAATTACTGTGCAGTGAACTGTCCTAAATTTTTCTGATTCGATTTCAGTCAATAATGGCGTAGTGTAACGGAAGTCCATGTTTTATGCAAGCTGACGTCTCGGTTCCGGTATGACATCCCGTCACCTTACACAGATGTCTGATCGTTACTCTTCTCTGCCAATTCCGTCCACCTCCTTATTCTAGCCTCCTCAATAAAATGATGAACAATAAAACAACGTTCCTCCTAGAAGCTCTCCTGAATTGCAAACTTTCTGACCACCACAGTGTCTAGAGCAATAAACTGTTCGAATTAATTTGTAAGCTGTTTTCACAAGAAACCCTCCTGTTGACGAACACTGCGCCTTGCTGATTACAGACGAATGTAGGGATGGAAGCATCTAGAAACTCATTTGCTTATAAATTTATTAAAATTTTCATTAATGTTACACAATTTTAAGAGTAGGGGATATGTACTTGCACACACGCATAATCAAAGTCGAAGAAAACTCGAATCACCGAAGAGAAAGCACAGCCAAGGAAAGGCAGAAGCTATCGATTCAGTGCAACAAATCGGACTTCAAGGTGTTTTCTCATGATCAGATCGATTAGTATGCATCTTCAGCTGGATCGGATATGTCAGAAACTTCCGTGGGCCGTGTCTTCAAAACTTCTTCAGAAGCTTCGTCAATACTTCTTTTCGGCTTCTTGTTTAACCTTCGAGTTCATAGTCGTTTCTTTTGTGTGAGTATATGTGTAGGGTAAGGGATGCTTGTATAGGGTAACAGTTCAATTTTCTCACGAATAATGTCTCCAACTTTGGCAAGGAAGTATGAAAATGGATAAAAGAGCCAGGGATGATGCTCCAGGTTCAGACAGACTGCTCTTGAAATCTACATGTGACTTCAGTATGCAGACTTAAATCTAGTGTCTGCTTGCTCCACTACTGATGCCTTCTCAGTAGCTCACTGTAGCTTCTGAATAGGATAGATGCCTATTCCGATACCTGCAGGGCTTTAATCTCGGTTAGGAGAGAGAGGTGGCGTCAACCTGAAGGCTTAACCGCTATATCGTTGAACTTTGGAAAAAAGAAAGCGCAAAACAGTTCCTAAGGAGCTCCTTGGAAATAAAAAGAACAGTTTACTCTATGACGCCAGTATGCAGAGCCAAGAATTATCCCATACTAAGTTCAAGTTCAGACCTTGACCCTATCAAGCGGAAGTTGAACTTCTTATCGTCCAAAATCCCTTAAACTTACCTCGAACCATTTTAGAAATGAACTCACATCGAGTCAGCAAGTGCTCAGTTACCTGTCTCAGAAATGTGTAAAGGTATTCAAAAAGTCATATTTGAGCCTACCAAAGAACCCTCAACGATCACCGGTACCACGGCCTTGAAACTGTAGAACATTCTAGATTTACAGTATGTTTTCTTCATTATTCATGATGTACTGCTGTAAATTTCCACCAAGACCAGTATGGTTGATTATTTTCGACCATTTTCCACTAAAAATAAAAATCAGGACAAACATTTCGATCAATGATCCAAATTTAGTATGAGAAGATTTACTGTGTTTGCCAAACAGTCTCAAGTTTGCACTAATCCAGTGTTATTGTAAGAAATCAGAGATAAACGACCGGCGAACGAGTTTCCCGATCGTATGCTCACATGTTATCCCCATGCCGTTGACGTGCATTCCCGTAAGAGCCCACGGAAGTAACGTAGTCATTTGGTTGGCCAGAGGGTCCGCACTAGGGACCATCCCGGCTCAAATAAACCCAGCAAGCACCTTGAATGCAAGCTCAGTCGATAAATCATGCTCAGAGAAGAGATGGGACAACGATGGACGGCCGTTTTACCACCTGCGCGACCTCCCAATTGATTCCCACTACCATATCTACAGATGGTCAAGCCAAAATATATCCTGGGACTTTCTGAGAAGCAAGCTTCTTTGTAAACAGAAAGCAGTGCTCCACAGCCCTCACCATAGCCGTCCGTAGACGACCGCATCCAAACGGTACTACAAATTTGAATAGAATGATGAACTGTGGCGCATCCCGAGAGAGATCGATGGTTGACGGAAACTCTACTTCTTGCCCTTTAGAGCCACGGTTGACACACTGTTCTTAGGTACACCATATTCGTCATCGAATTCGTTTAATTAGCGTTGTAAATGAGGGGGGAAGACGAAGACGGGGGCGCCCGTAGCCACCAAAGACGGGGTTGACGTCGCCCAAGCCCCGCCCACCACCGATTACGGTCGACGGTACAAAAGCCCTCGGCCGCATATACTCTCTACAATACAAACCATCTTCACTGCTAGTGGTACGGCTAGACTGCTTTCGGCATACCGTTTCCTTACATCCTTCCAGAATTTCTCTTGTTTGTCAACATCTGGTCGAGTAGGGCATGATTTCAGCCTTGGAGCGCACAATCCTCCAGCTTTCGTTTCTTTCTCAAAAAATGAGGCCCTTGATGCGTTTTCAATCGTGAAACCTTTTGGAATCGTGACATGCGTGTGTATGAAAAATTCTTTTTGTGGCAGATTGCAGTCGTGGCTATTTTCAGGACAATGTTTGAGATCTTCACGCACGGTGTTTCATTCCTCAATATCCTCTCGTTAGCCGCATTTTTCACCACCGTTGGGTTATTTTTCTGTGGAATGTGAGTTTCTTTGACAGTTTCTGATTGTTGTATCTGTAGTTGTTTACTCTTTCGGTGACAAGTGAAATCTTTGATTTTCAGTCCAATCTGCCGACAAATATGGAAACGAAAGGACACAAAAGAAATTTCTGGTGCGCCTTTTTTGATGGGAGTTCTTGGGTGAGTCATTGGTCCAGAATATAGCAATTTTTACCAGATACGGTCTTATCTATCTGGAAAACAACAAGATTTACACGAAATTGGCCGCAATAGTCTTCCAGGAGTTCTCTGGGGCACGTGCGTTCCATCGTTTTCTTGTTATGAGATCGCTGTTCAGTCTATACATAGCTTGTGACGCCGATCATAAATGATCTTCCCATATCGTAAACACGGTCTCGGAACTGTTCTTACTGTGTAGAGGACTCCTATATTAGCAACTATCCCTTGGTGTACCCAGAGAGACTGGTGAACCACGAGAGTGTGGCTCTCCCGTACCAACCAAGTCTTCTAGGCCTGTAGGGTAGCTAAGTCCGTACCAGGCTCTCCAGCCGGGATCAAACCTCATAAATTAATGTGAAAGGGGGGGGGGGGGGGGGGGAGGGAAGGTGGATGGAATCCCCGGTGAGCGCACCTTATAATGTGGGGATAGAAGCATTACATTTGGGCATGCCTCACAGACCTCGAGGATGTACCTGAAGGGGGACCAATCAATTGCATAAGATCCGCTTCCGGGTTTCCCAGATATAAAAAACTCCAAACCCTTTCCTCTCCGCTCATTTCATACTCAAACCTTTTGCCTTAACTTAACTTTCAAACCTCGATCTACTTCTTTCAGAGGCTGTTGCTGGATGACATATGGTTACCTGAAGAACGATAAAACAGTCCTCGTTGTCACTGGGTGTCAAGTGATCCTATACTCAACGTACAGTGTATTCTACTGGTTAATGAGCAAAGACAAAGTAAGTATGCAGTAACCAGTTCGAAAGCCAGTTTCCCCCTGAAGGTTCACATATTGGACGAGGTTCTAACGCCCATACAGGAAAAAAACATGCAAAACTTCCAATGGGGAGACTGCCCCCGTACGTGCACTAAGCAATCGCTGAGTGCAGGCGGATCCAGTTCCGCCCTCGTCGTCAGCAACGATGATGGTTACGTCGGTGTCGACGACGACGGCGTTTTTCATTACAACTATTGTTTTGTTTGGATGATTGGCTACTTAGCCCATAAGTGCCAATTGTACAATGAACACCAACTGGAATGCATCCAAAGAGGGAAATTTCTGAGGTTTCGTCGACCTTTTTGGATAAAAAAAAAGTATTTTCAGCTATGGATCACTATCAAAGTCGGAGCAGTGCTGTCGCTATGTACGGCGTTGATATTGTCCGTACAATTTTTCGGTATGAAAGTTTTCCATCCGCTTGGAATCGTCTGCATGACGCTGAACATCGCCGACTTTGCCGCTCCATTGGCTGGACTGGTAAGCCTTTATCTTATCAGAGGGGAGTAGCTACGTAGGCGAAACCTTTGGTTCGTAGGTAACTTCAGCCGCCTTGGATGGAATACAGTGGACGTAAACCAGGAGACCTGTTTAGCAAGTGGGACGATTGAGTGGGGATACTTATGCTGGCCACTGTGGCCATTTAGCATAACGATTATATAAAAAATGCCTAATAAGCATAAATGCACCAGAAAAACGACCTTTGCTTTCGAACATGACCCTCCCTGGCTTCCTCCAGCCATGTAGCCTTGAAAACCGCTCCCTACTAGCTGCCCAGAACATCTTGGCTAAGGATTACCTCCAGAAGTTGCCATTTATGAAAAGCTCTTCACAGAGTCTCTAATAACCTTTTTCAGCGAGTAGTAATTCGTCGTGGAGCGACATCCACCCTGCCACTACCTCTTTGTATCGCCAATTTTCTGGTCTCATCCGAATGGTTCTTATATGGTCTCCTTGTTCGAGATGTCTACCTCATTGTGAGTCTTAACATGAACTTTTAAACTTCGTTTCCCAAGCTCTAAACTCCACCCCTTCCAGACCCCAAACGGTATTGGATCTCTGCTGGCTCTTGGTCAGCTATTCCTATTCGTAGTGTTGCCACGTAAGCCCGGACAACGATCTCTGTTAACTCGTGCATTTGGTTGCTGTGGACCCAGTGAGAAGGAAACCGATTTGGAGGCACCCACGAAAGGTTCGTTTATAACATGACGTCAACGAAGTTGACGAACATCTTCATGACCGCGTAAAATGGGTCCGATCACGGAAACGGGATATGATATCATAGCGCAGCGCGATGTTTTCGACAAACATCCAACGAGCGCGTTTTTCGATCTCATGTCACCGTGATGGATCTCTATTTTCTGCAAAATCCTCTACCATATTCTTACAACGTAAATATTGATACGAGTGATTATTTTAGAAATCATCCCTGAAGTGGAAAGTGATGAGTCTATCAACTCTGCTCACCTCACTCGAGCTCGTCGCTGGTCAAAGAAGGTGATGGCCAACGTGAACACAATGGCCGAAGAGATCGAGCACGTCATCGGCAAAGCTTCAATCCACCATTCAGACCAGTAAGTTGTGATCCTTAATAGACCAGTTCTAGGGGAAAGAGTTCTAAGGGTTAGCCAGCCTTCGAGAATTTCTGCTCAATACCTTGTTTCAGTTCGAGATTCATGTACTCGCAAACGATTGGAGACGACGACACCTCATCCGAGAAGACGATGGATTCCGTAGACGGTCAAGCGGCTAGAAACCTTCTGGAGGCTCTCAAGAATGGCGAACAAGTCCTGAATCCCAGCATGTTGATGCCATCAAAGCTCTGCTCTGGTTCTCAACGACTTAGTGCCGAAGCACGAAAAGCGAAAATACGCCGAACCATCAGTTCACCCGATCTATCCGACGGAAGCATTCCACTATAATGCTTGACAAATTCCTTTATGACGTCATTCGGCCCCATCTCGATTGGCCAAATGTCCTGTTGACAAATCGCTTTAATTCAAGCGTCAGTATGTAGCCAATTGGTTTGTGCAGCTCCATTCTCATATTTTCATATATATACTGCTGCTATAGCCGGTGATCCTAGAGCGAATACGACGTGTACGGTACTTACTTTCCGTACCAAATAATACTACAGTAACTTCTACTGTGTATTTGCATTTTCTTTGTTGTTTATTTGATTTGTGTGACTATAAGCTTTTCATGCTTCTAAACAATGACCCAATGGGTCTGCGCATCACTTTCTTGTTGCTTTTCTAAATCCTTTTTAATTGTGTGTGCAATATTTTTACATAATATCATGTTGTGCGGGTATTTATTTGTTTAGTATTGAATAAATATTTTCGAAACAAAATAAACAAGCTATACTACACGAATGATCTCTGGATCAATCTCCATCCCCCATCCCTTTCATCTTCTCCTTTATTCCTCCCTACTTCACTTCAGGGTTCAACTTGCAAAATCTTCTCCCTCCCAATTCCAATTCGTATGGGATCGACTTAAAGGCTTAGTTCGCGATAATGTTGAGGTACCCGTTTTTATTTGAAAAACGGAACTACAGATCGGGAGTACTTCGTTCAGAAAGCGAGAGAATTCGCCGAATTCGAGAAAAATATGACTCCTCAAAAGTAGGGAAAGCAGAGATTGGACGAGATTGCCATGACGGAAATATCATGGAAGGGGTGTTCAGACGAGATTTCAGTTATTGCAATTGCACAAAGAGCTGATTACATCACACCAACTGCACAGAACTGTCTTTCACTGTCGCTATGGATCATGACAAGTTGATTGAACTTCCTACATGGGTTCCCTTGTAATCGGTGAGCCCTCCACAATGCCAGTGAAACTCGTCCGAAGATTCACCCGGGTCAATCTTTGAGCCTTTATAACTCCCTAACTAGGCCGTTTTCCGACCTAATAGTGCCAGATATGGTATATGCGGGGACCTCAAATTCATCTTCTCAGGAATCTCAGAAACCATTTCTATCGTGGACCGTGCCTTTAAAGAGAGTATAGTCACTTCCTTCTCATCTCTTCGAATTTTTTAATTCTATACCTTAATAGCTCTCTATTTTTAGATCATATCAAGAAGACGGCACTTAAGAGTAAGAGATCAAATGATCCGTTTGACCACGTTTAACAAACATACAAACTTGCAAAATAAATAAATAAGTAAACAGCATGCAATGATGTAATGAACCTCTGCATGAGGGAATTCAACGAGTGCGAATTCTTTTTGAGAAACTCAGGCGAGCAGTACAGAATAGCTGAGTGCAGGGTCTCCCGCTTAGGAAGTAAAATCAGTGCACTGGAAGAATTTCGAGGTGCATGCGATTCTCTGAATAGGGAGAATCTGTCATAATGGACTGCTCCCCTAAGGGTTCAGTTTCCTGAGCTTCAAGTTGACTCCCTTACATCGCTTTACGCAGATTTTCCAGAGGACTCTTCTTTCATGTTTATGCCTGAATTCTTAGAAAAGTATTGCTGTTGAATAATGACGGAAGACTCTTCTGTCTCCCTCTGCCTGGATCTCCTGGTAGCAAAAGAAGGAGTCGACATGAATTGATGGGATTCGAACCATGAATCATATGTGTGATAACGATGCCATTCGCCTCTGTGTTTTACTGTGCTGAGATCCATCATTTGATGCTTCATACGGTAATGCCATGTGACAAACACAAAATAGCTAAAGTCCCAACCAGTTCTTACTACTGCCACCTCTGGTGTTCATTGTTTACTTTGTGGTTCTCTTCAGTATTGTGATAGCAGTAACAGACGGCGTAATGAAATGATCTCTAAACATTTTGGTGAACAGTACCCTAAGGTAAAGCCTATCACTGCTCGAAGTTCGTTAAGAAATGTTTTTCTTGACAGCTACAGGACCTCCCCCTTTCTGTTAGCGACATTATCCTCTCAGACATGACTAGTGCTAGATGACCCCTCCCAAAAGG